AAATTGCGTTTACGGAGAACAGGTCTCGGAAGTTTTCGGAAAATTGGATACGTGCTCAGCCGGGGGGATCCAATTATTGTTGAGCTTCGTAGTCGAATTAAAACCGAAAAACTTTTAATGATAATTGGACGGTATGAACGCCAAGTCATCCTGTGAACTTCACTCAAAAATTGAGTTTCTCTGCGAGTTTTAATGCGAAAAAATCTCGGCAAGGAAGGGCGTTATCTCGGATGTTTTTGGACAAGTTTCTAGAGAGATCATTTTTTACACGTTGAAAAGAGACCAAAATGTTTTCAGGGCATTGTCAGCAGTATGAAAAAGTCGAATGGAAATATTTTCCTAGAAATTTGTGATCCCGAGAGTTTTTACAGAACAGGTCGAACGCATTGAAATTTTTAAAAACGTATTTTACGCAACAGACTCACCTCTCGCAACAAAAAATAGGAAAACCCCGATTTAAATCAACGTGGATCAAATTGGTTACTTAGGTCGAGCTCACCTTTGACAGTTAACTAGACTTTAGCTGCACAAAGTTTCATTTTTTTCAGATGCATGGTCTTGTCTTTTTTTTTAAAGGAAGAAAAGTAACGTACATCGAAATTTTTTTAGGGCCATGCCCTTTAAAATTATTTTCGTGATCATTTTCGTTCTGGCAGACTCTCGTTCTTTGACAAGTGGAGAGTTTGATTTTCCAGGGGCAGACGCCAAATTCTCAATAACGAGATGAACTTGAAAATTTTTGAGATGTCCATGGTGTTTTCCATGAAATTCGGACGAAGTTTTATCCTCTCACTTGATTTTGGGCTGAGTCTCAATAGATTCAAACATGGACATGTATACCTGGAATCGCTCTAACTACACCATAAGCTGCAGAATTTTCTCTGATGTTTCATTTTTATAAGTATGAAACCAAGCAACATTGAAACTTTTGTTGAATATGGTATTCTTCATCATGTAAGGCTAATTCGTCGAAAAAAAGACGTTAGGTAGTTAAGTTCTTAATTTATTAAAAATAAAAGATAGGAGAAAATCAGGTAAAAGGACGTGCAGTTAGGCTTATTCAGGGTAAACTCGCCCAATTGAACTACAGTTTGCAATAAGAAACCACAATTACTGGCTCTGTTTAGAAACAACGTAGGTACCATCAGTTTCCCTATGCACACAAGTGTTTTCACAGATGAGCCGGAAAATGTAGGTCTTAATTGCTAAAAGGTCCCATTTGCTAATTGTAGGTCCTATTGTTAAATGTAGATCAATGAGTTGATTTTGAAATTGTGCAAGGTGTCGGCAATGTTTTCTGTGAAATTCTGATTAAATCCCAATTAACTTGTACATACTAATAGATACATTTTAACATCGCGTATTGATTTTAGGTGTGCGGTTTCATTAAAGTTCGAAGGTCTTCCTTGAAATGAGAAATAAACGCTGACGTGGTATTTTCCTTAATGCACGAATAACGTCATTATTTCCATATTACGCTACAGTGCAGACTTTGATGTACTGAAGTTGAGGATTGATTTTAATTTATTTCACTTAGAGCAATCGTTTCCTGTCCGCAGCAGACATTTTATTTATATGAAGGAGAACCATTCCACTTATTTCTCCCACCTCTTACCCATGCAACAACGGACAGTACTCAGTTGCGCTCTTTTGCAATAATTAAATCCCTAGATATGATCAATATTCCGACGAATTGGGACTAAGCACATTTTTATCGTATTTTAGTTCGGTAATCACCTCTTCATGTACATCATCGTGAGAAAAACACGAGACAAAAGATCAGCCTAAAACAAATGAAAAATAAGGGCGGGGGCGGGGGGGAGGGTCGCGAAAAGAAAGTCCGCTAATTTTCTGTGCCCATTTCTATTCTAGTATCCGCGACTTTTTCCTATGTTTTTCGCTTATTTGTTGATCGTCTAGAATAATTTGAAAATAATTTGAACGATTTTTTTTTTGAAAAAAGAATATTATCAAAACCGCACATCAGTGATCGCACAATATTTTTAAATTGTCTTTGGAATATTTTTTCTTCATGCTCGGTTTAGTACCTTGATCTGGCACCTCGTTTATTCATTTCTTCCTCAGAAGCCGTGTCCCTAAATTTTGTAACACACTTTTTCGGCATTTCTGCCCCCTTCCCCCTACCTTTTAACGCTTATAACGCTCTTGTTACGTAGATCCCTATCATTTAACCTGTAAAAACAAAATGGCGTAACGTTCTCCTCGATCCCCCTCTCCTTCTAAGGATATGCATAATTTTAGGAATAGCCCCTTACTGTGTCACGAGATATTATAATATTAAAATAAAAATAAGTATTCATAGCAATACAAATTATTCATGCCAAATCGAAAAGGAATCATGCAATTTGTTTATAAGAATATGAATTTCTAACATCTGTCAACAAATTTGCGAATTTGCGTGTGTAAGCCGAAGAAAAATCAGTGAAATTTACAGTCAGAAACGTCTATCAACTTTCCGGTAGGTAGAAGTGCATTTTGCGAAAGGAATTTCCACTACGTTAGAATTGAGTTACGTTCTTTTATCTATGAAACGAAGAAATTTGAGTTGCGACGCAACGCACACACGACTACCACACACTAAAATGCCAATATCAAAAACACACAAAAATGGTCCGAATGATTTATAAACAATAAATTAACAATTCAAAAAAATTTAAAAGAACACTAGAAAACGGGTAAACAAGGGTGGAATAATAAAACCTGATTTTGCTCTTTTTTTAGCCTTGATTGCCCGTTTTCTTGTGTTTTTTGGGTAATATACATAGCAATCCGACAACGCGGCGGCGCGGCGGAGATCAGGGTCCCTGACTCGGAGCACAATAGGGATTTTGATTCACGCGAGCCGACCCTAAAAAGCGTATCACATGCCGACAGCTGCTTCCTAGTTTACGAAACGCATTAACTCTTACCTGCAAGGCAGGAGGGGATCAAACCCGAATCAATTTTGGCCCCCATAAAAGCCCGATCGCGACCTAACCTGCAAAGGCCCAGACGGAATCCGATCCCGTCTTAGCTCTTCCTCAGTGCACACCGACCAAAACCCAACACAAGTGCATTTTCTGATGCACCCTCCGCTCCACAACAACGCCTACATTTTAGGGCTCATCTTAAAATTGACTTGATTCATTTCTGCATCGACGGATTTGTAAGACGCGGGTGTCTTTGTACGATATTTTTATTCACTCTTTAAGTTGTTTGATGGCTTAACGGTGGCCACTTTTCCTTCTAGCGACTGCGTCTCCGATATAATTCTGTGCGGTACCATCTTCGGGCTTTGAATGTGTCAATTTTATCAGGATGTCATATTTTAGTGAAGTCGCTTCGTAGGATAGTCACACAGCCGGCGGGGAAAGAAAGAAAGAAACAAATCATCTTGGAAACTCCACTTTTTGGGGTTACGTTAGATTACTTTAGGAGTACTGCCACCGTTTCATAAAAAAAATTGCCGTATTAACATTCGAATGTAGTCTCTTTCCACCCTCTTAAAATACGTATTTCTGAGGAAAGTTATGCATACTTCTCCTCCAGGTAATTTAGATTATGTTGCTTACAAAATTCTCTGAAAAATCAGAGGGATAATATGAGTAGGTTTTCCAGAAAATTCGTCTTCCAACTGTGGAAATATGGCAACGTTCAGACACTGATACGACGTTTTTTCTTAGCACGACAGAATAGTGGGAACGACTAAAACTTCAAAAACTTGAACCGAGAGCACCGTGGGCGTGGGAGGGTTTCAGTGCGAAGACGTTTCACCGAAATCCATCTGTAAACTGCCGTTTTATGGAAACGTAATATGAAAATTTGAAGGTTGCCAAATTTTTCCGGGAAAATCATTTTTTCTACAAAAAGGTTGTGAGTATTTTTCTGTACTGAAGTATGAGGCACTTATTTCAAAAATGCCTATGGCCAAAAAGAAAAACTCGAATATCCATTTGCGACGTTGCAGATTTCCTGTCATCCTTTATTTTTTCACCGGAAAACAAGTTAACTTAAATTCTTGAAAATTCTCTAGAGTTTTCCTCTGTCAGCAGAAACTTCAAGCTGTTTAGTTGACTATTTCCTTTGCAAAAAATTGAATTATGAGCAAAACTGAAATTTCGACAAATTGAAATAAAAAATAAAAATAAAAATATGAGTTTGAAACACCGCGATGGAGTTACGTGGTGTCGTGCTTTTGTCATCGATGTGGATCGGGAAAATATAAGTAGAATTAAGGGGCTTAGAAGACAAGGCACATAAGTGCAGTTTTTGGGGAAATTGAGATAATAATGATTTCGAGTGAAACTAGTCTTAATGCATATTTTGTGAAAAATTTGCTCCCTATTTCCAATTATTAAGCATCAAAAAGTCAGTTTGACTCTCTTTCCGCCATAAGAATCCATGCAATTTTGAAACTTCATACACGTATCTCTCGAAATAGCAAAATTTGTCCTTATGCGCCTTGTCCTCCAAGCCCCTCAATTCTATTTTAAGTTACTCCCTTTTCCGTATTATTTTGCACTCTTTGACAACACGCGTGGTCTTCTCCTGTTAGACAACTTGACAGACTTGTTATTTTCCTTTATGATTTCACTTCTTTCCTTTTTATTGTTATATTTTTCCCCCTTCGTTCTCCTCCGCGATGTGTGAGGGATGAACTACGGATACATTCATTTGGGACTTTCTGACATATGCATACACGGGCAGCATGAAAATTTCGCGGGGGTGCCGATTCTCAGGTGCAATATTAGCTTATTGTGTCCGCTAAAAATATGATTCTCCAACCACCCTTGCATTCATAATAGCTTGATTTCCTCTGATATTATCTTCATGATATCCTCTATGCGATCTGTGTCCTCACATCAACCATGGTATCTTGAGCTCCAGACTGCATAAATGCATGTAACGTAGGTCAAACTTAAGTAGCGGGGAATAAATAAACGGAAATTTCATTGAAATATCCATATTTTGTTAAATAATTTCAGTAGAAAGATAATTACCGGAAAAATGTGTCGCAAAGCGTGTCCTCCATCCATGTTTGTTTTTGACGGGGATTATGTTAGTCTAAGCCACATTAGTGCATCTGAAACAAATAAATATTTTTTATTGGCATACGTATTCCTAAAAGACATGCTTGAGAACTCGCATCTTTTTCTGGTTGTGATAAGAAAATATTTCCGCTCTGTTAAATTATAAGCGTTATTTAGCGTATTTATCATTTTAAGTATGGAACAGTTACAGTTCGTCCAGTCAGTCCTTTTTATTGTATTTAATACATATTATGAATAAAAAATTCTTGGTATTCGTTGGTAATACGCTAAATAAAGTTTCATAATTTAGCACGTGCGCTAAGTAACAAAAAAAATATGATAAATCAAATTATAAAATGTCTGTTAATGCGCAAAATGAATATGACAAAGGGACGCACCGTAAAATAATCAAATAATGCGGAAAATGTTGCAATTCAGTAGAATTTGCTTAAAACTCCAGGTTAGAAATTTCAATATCTCATAGAAAGACAAATGAAGCAAGTAATTTGGAATGACAAGTTCTGCACCGTTACCTAACAAAAAAGTTACGACCGTTTAAACTCTCGTTCATCGGGGCAAAATATGAGTATAAACTTTACGAGAACGATTCATCCAAGAAACAGTGCAAGTTTTGGCGGAATCAAATACCACGGGCGAGCGATATTGACAGATTTGACAACTCTAAAGGAGCGTCATACCGATTTCCAAAGCAAAATCATTCGAAAAGGAAGACTGAAGGGAATGGCAAACATCAGACCAAGCTCCCGTATTCTAAGCATTTCATCGCTTTGGAATGCGTCTTTACGATTCCAGGAAATGCGTGTTGATTTTCGAATTCTGCAGTAAAGATTCTCTGCATCCAAATTAATTACAGTCGATGGATGTGATTCCTGAGGAACTCCTAATTTTGCTGTTTTCATCAGACTTTTGCTGCGAGATTTATTGGGGAAACAGTTTTATTAAAGAAAACTATGTTACGATACATCCCGGTTATTAAGTGGGTGTCTTCCGCCTTCAGAATCTTGATGTAAAATCATGCCTCGTCGAGGTTACTTAACCCCTGATGATGCGACTATTTCGACTGTTAGGGATTGATTTGGCCTAATTGCTAAAATGAAGGCGAAAAAACGTCTGACTGATTTAAATACTCGATTTTCTTTTTCAAATAGATTTGTGACGAATTGTCACAATTCATTCAAGCAGAGTGACGAATAAATAAGAACAATATGAAATATTGGACATTTTTTGGAAACATTCCATAAAATTTTATGAGGCTGTAAAATGTCTGAAAACGAGAAACATCTATTTCAGGGGATGTTCATTTAGTTTGCTCTGAAGAAAATCTAACAACGCAAAACCCATATTAGTCTTTCAATTAATTCAGGATTGTCATTCCTTTTTCTCGTATGTGAAATATTCTTGATAATAATGAATGAATTGATGTCTCCAAAAAATAATATTGGCTAAGTTTTGATAATATTTTAGGGAATTTCACGTTGTATATTTCATGTCATGTCGTCATCATTTTTACAAAATGATGTTGACACAAACACATTTATATTTTTAAAAACCTACACGGGGAGCAAAGCTCAAATGGCGTACATGTGGAATACTCGGCGCACTTTTCCTCGAACACTCCTCAATAGTGTGTAATGAAATAAAAACACGTCTGAATATACCAACGTACAGCCCCTATCGACGAGATTGTTGACTGAGAGATCACCGCGAACAAATAAATCTTTTTTCGTATCGCTGGAGGTATTATTCAAAAGAGTGGAGGAGTTCGGAGTGGAGCATTCGCGCAGCCCCGGAAAGAGGTGCAGTTTCCCTTTATGAAATATGCAGTCTGGAGATAAAAACAAAAATAAAAACAAACATATCGGAGGGAGTAGTGCATCGCAATAATTGAAAATAGAAACCCTCTGCTTTTACGTCGAATTTGATTCGTATAAGTCACTTAAGCATCGGAGCATGCATTCGTTGCGTCTACTATCCATTTCCGGTGAGGGGTAAAACGCTCTTCCATTCAGATATTATAAAACCACGTATAGCAATGGCAGCAATTCGAAATTCCCGCGGATTTCTCAATTTCCCGAAGGAGAGAAAATTAATATCATAACATACCATTTCTCTGCCTTTTATTCTTCTCGTTCCCTTTTTTTTTATCTTTCAACAGTGATCCTGTAAAAATTGTAGTCATGTCATGGGTTCTTTGTGCGAAACATAAAATAAAAGCGGGCATTATTGGTACGTCGCAATAAAAAAACGCATTTTTAATTTATATGTAATGAGAAGAAACTGAGGTTTTTTGGATAAATTTATCTTTTAATTCATCACTAAAACCTTTTTTTCGGCTTACGCCATCATCGGAGCAGTATGATATATCTTGAGCACCAACCTACTCAACAATCGAAATTTTACTTCACAAAAATATGATGCTTTCAATATCAATATCATCAGAAATGAAAAGCAGCAGCATTGTACTCGTGAAAGTTGTAAATACGTATATCCAATGAGTATCCTACACGTTGTTTTAAATGGTGATACTGATATGTTCCAATGATACCACGCTAGAAGTGCAAATTGAAACAATCCGGAATTTACTACGAATTAAATAATAGCAATTTGACACCACGATGAGGAACAGGGCTGTCTTTAAGCATTTAAAGTTGGAGAGATAGTTGTAGAAAAAAACCACACATGACGAAAAACTTCGCACCAAATCCTTCGGAAGTAGAAGTATATTATTACGTCGGAGGCAGTCAGATATCGCCGGCAATGAGCAAGCGGTATGCGTTTCAAATTGCATTCCTTGATTGACTAACTTCAGAAGCACAAACTCGGGCAGCGCCTTCCAATACCTGGTGATACCACCCGCTTTGCCAGGTTGTTGTTTTCTTACCCATCCGAACCAAATTCAACTAAGATCGCCGATTTCACTATATGCACTCGCGAGTAAGCTAAAGCAAAAACTCGGGCGGCGCCTTCCACTCCCTGGTGATACCACCCGCTTTACCAGGCAGTTAATTTTATTACACATCCGAACCAAATTCAACTCAGATCGCCGATTTCACTGCATGCACTCGCAAGTATACTTGCTGGCAACATACGTCCGAGAAGAAAAAAAAAGGTCTATGAATTCCAAGCGCAATATCTTGTTTCTTTATCTCTGAATTTTCACATTTTTTTTCATTCAACGCAAAGAAATCGCAATTTTTGTACGACGTGTACATTTAGAAATTTAGGCCCTAGGTAAAGAAACCGCCTTAAAGTGTGTAGGTGTTTGGTTATGTCCGTCCGTCGAAATTATTGTACCTGTGAGTATCACTGATTGTGATTATACCTGAGTCCATCGTTTTTTTCCTCGGCTAATAAAAATTGTATTGCAGTGAAACGAAACAAAGTGGCTGGGGGATAGAATACCAATAACTGTACGCGTATTAATGATTTTACGTCCATCAACGCGATCACGCACCTAATCATCGTCACTTCGTCAAATCATTACTTTCCTTTTTTAAGTAATCGATCAACCACTGTATCTAAAGACGTGATCTTGCGTGGAATAACTACCTATAACAGTGTTTTCTTTTCTCACATCAACAATTTGTATGCGATAACTGAAATATTTTCATAAACTGTTCAACAAGTGTACACCTACCTCACGCACGAGTGTTTATTCAAGGCAAAATCTCAATTTATACCATCCTTTGATCCAAAGTAAAAAAAAAAAAAAAATCAAGCAAAATAAGAGTCGCAATTCTTGAAGGCCTACAAATTATTTATGATCTTTCAGTAGAAATAGCGCTCGAGGACAAATGGCATATGACATTGACGAGTTTTATTTTCTACAAAGAGGATAATTGCCTGTAGGCGCTGCGAAGAGCAATGCTCCGAATTCATAATAAGTCATGGATGAGAATGACATAAGCTGGAGCACCCTTGATGGGCTCCTGTCCAGGTTGACTTAGATTCACTTAAAAGGGTTGTCCCTGTGATAAATCCTGCAAAAAGCAATAAAACACTGTTGCCATGCTCGTGCTTAAAACAGCCATTTTATGAGCATTGAAACATTACTTCGGTGTTATTCACTGCATTTGGCACGATTCAATTTATAGTGTTTAATGCATTGCAGTCACGATGGTTTATGGATATTTTTTTCGTTTTAAAACAAGTGAGAAATATGACTGTGGTATTATATTTTCTGTAAAAACATTAATTGCCTTATTTGCTTCAATAAAAAATAATAAAATATATGCTCATATAAATCACTATAAGTACGTAAATATTATTTCTATGACGGTTTTTTTTTTTTACATTTAAATGAATACACTTTTGTCGATTTTACCAATATCGTGCCTTAGGGCTGTGCCGGTGTTTCCCTGCAGTCAGTGCCGTTAATTAAACAATAATGTAAAAAACTTTTGTCGAATAAATGGTGCTTAGATACTTTCACATCCTTTTTTATAGAGGAAAAGCCGTACGCCCGTGACACGGCAGAATGCCCAATGGCGCTTTTTCATTTTGGAAAAATTGTTTTTTCTTCATTTGAATTCATTCAAAAGATCGATTTTCGGTGAGACAAGATGCTTCACCAAGAATCGATTGTTTAACACACATTTAAATGGAGGAAAAACCGTGTTGCCAACTTTCAAGAGTCGCCGCACCGCTACTGTGACGCTCGACAGATTTTTGGTGGGACAAGCTGCCTTACCAAGCACCAATATTTTTACATGCACTTAAGGTGATTCGATTGACGCCATATTTTGTGTCAGAACGGCATGCGATACATCGCATCAATTGGTTCCATTTTTTCAGGTACTCGTCATTTTTCTCCAATTTTGAGATCGCAATACTGTTGTCAGGAGACTAAAGCACTCACCTACCAATTTTAGCAAAGAAATTCAACGTAATAAAGGCGTGGTTTTTTAGAGAGGAAATATCACATTCGAGTGCAGTTTCGATATCAGTATCGAATGCTATGTTTTCTCTCTAAAAAAAACCACGTCTTTATTACGTTGAATTTCTTTGTTAAAATTGGTAAGCGAGTGCTGTA